AGTGACTATTTGTCAAATAAAAGTAACAAACAAAAGCGTGGGCAAACTCAGAACTAAACATAACTCAAATAATCACCTTTGGGCACCATGGGTATGTGGTTTACGCAGTACAAATCAATGTCCATGACAAGAGATGATTTTCCAAGGTTTATTTTCCAGTTTGGGCAAACAACAAGGAATACATGTTTAAGGCGACTCCTGCTGCTTCTCCTCGTGACTGGTAAAAAACCATAGGCCCACCCAGGTCACTCTGGTCTACGTGTACCACCCTCTTTTATCCCCTAGGTGACCCGAATTAAACCAAAAACAAAAAGGAGGTGCTAACGTAAATAATACCAATTTAAACTAAGAAATTAGCAAGAATAATATTAACATAGCAAAAATATATTATACAAATTAACAAAACTAAATTAGTAAGCTAACTAACAAACAAAAATAATAAACAAATTTTAGAATCAACAAAATAAGCAAATAGCTCCTACGCCCATGTTACTGAAGAACAGGTTACAAAAGTCTAAAAAAAAAACAAAAAACAACAACTCCTGATTACATAAAAATAAACACACACTCTTCAGACATAAATAAGGACATTTTAGCCTCTTTCTAAAAACGCTGACGCTCCAAACTTCAGAACCAGAACCACGGAGACAGACCCGCTTCACCTTCAGCTCCACGCTTCCCTCCGCGCGCACTGATGACGTTTAATGTTTCCAACGAATGGGCCCTGAAATATGACGTCATTATGTAGTTCTGTCTCTCAAGAGGGTCTGGCTGCAGAAATATGACGTCATTATGTAGTTCTGTCTCTCAAGAGGGTCTGGCTGCAGAAATATGACGTCATTATGTAGTTCTGTCTCTCAAGAGGGTCTGGCTGCAGAAATATGACGTCATTATGTAGTTCTGTCTCTCAAGAGGGTCTGGCTGCAGAAATATGACGTCATTATGTAGTTCTGTCTCTCAAGAGGGTCTGGCTGCAGACACATGAATGTTTTTCAGTCTGTACATTTGATTTATGGTGAAATGTGCCGTTTATTTGGTGTCTCTTTTGATAGTAACTAAGTACATGTACTATAAGAATGTACTATTGTACTGTAATAAAATAATAATGTAATAAATGTAATAAACTGTGGTGTTCCACATGATCATATCTGGCAAAGATAATTTGTTCATTTTTGATTGTCACTTGCTTCAGCAAAGAGGGAAAACAATGAGATTTACTGACATACAGCTGTTAATGCAGTGTGTGTGTGTGTGTGTGTGTGTGTGTGTGTGTGTGTGTGTGTGTGTGTGTGTGTGCGTGTGTGTGTGTGTGTGTGTGTGTGTGTGTGTGTGTGTGTGTGTGTGTGTGTGTGTGTGCGTGTGTGTGTGTGTGTGTGTGTGTGTGTGTAATGGGTTTAATGTTTGACTCTTCATATTATGATAAAGTATTTCCAGAAGTTCCTTGGATTGTTTAATAAACCATCTTTTCTCAGGAGAGATTCTTTCTTTCTTTACAAACTGACTGTATAAATCTAATCCCTGTTCCTTAATAATGATATTTAGTAAAGCAAATCTCATCAGTTTTTTTTTTT